CAGAGCACAGATAGCCCATTGTGTAGCTTTGTGCTTAACTTCAAAAAACAAAACAAAAACAAACTATCTGATAAATCTGGTTTACTGACATTTAGATACGTTCTAATTAACCGCAGTTGACTTTTAAGCCCTGAATTTTAGTTAGCTAAGCAATCATTATTACACCTGATACAAAAACCAAGTAACTAACAGCTTATCTATCAGAGGAGCAACTGACTCTCTAATTACGGTATTTATATATATATATATTATTTTTAACGTATTCTGTTGTTGGAAGGGTTCTTTTGGATTATCAGATAAAAATAATGCAAAGTGTAGTCCACATAACAAGACCTAATTAATTTATTTCTTCAATAACGTTTGCTACAGGCTACCTTCATTTTTATGCAAGTTGTACACCTAAGTACACAAACAATCTTCTCAACATAAACTCTGAAACTAATGTAGGCTTAATACACTAATGAAGTTTAACAGAAATTTATTAGCTTGATAATAAACTTGACTAACTTACTGATTAACATTACTTGATCAGTCTTCTTTCGATCAACAATTTATCGATCTTTCACAAACTAAAATACTTCACTGAATTCTCTATCACTGCTCAATAAATACTTCACTGAATTCTCTATCACTACTCAATAAATACTTCACTGAATTCTCTATCACTACTCAATAAATACTTCACTGAACTAACAGAACTAACTCGTAGTTAAAATTAATGTATCAATGCTTCGATATTAGTCGAAGCTTCTTGATTTTAACGTCATGCGCTATATAGCTAACGACTTAATTAAAACATTCAAATTATAGTTTACAATAATATATTAAGTTTACACATGCAAATTCCCAAAATCATCAGCTTGACAAATATTGTATATCTTATACCATCAAAGCCCTTTGAGTAGAAGAGAACCCATGAATATTGACCAGTATCAATGCTAATGCTATTTGTCATGTATATTTTTAAAATTTTGAATTTTAGTTCAAATAATGATCAAGCTAAAACGATAATATTCTAAAACAAGTTAAAACATCGTATGAAATAAGCTACGGTGTATAAACTACCTTTACATATATTTATATGAAGATTATCAACAAAACAAATAATCGTACGTCAATACAGTTTAAAGTCTTTCCTCAAAGACCTCGTTTCAAAGTTCAACGACAATTTCTTAAATCTTGATCAGTATTTGGTGACTATAAACTAAATAGTTTGTACTGTACTTAAGAGTATACGACAGTGAATTAAGTTCGCGCAATTAATTTTGTGAATACAAATTAGCTCAATTGGGTGCTCTGCTTGCTGAACTACGACTTGTAATTTGATGCCCATCATTCATTTTTCATGTGTAAATTCTTTATGCGCTGTCATTACACAAGAATGCTGTTCAGCTTTTTTACACATTTCAAATAACAATTCCTTTTTATAAAATCAATGTATACTTTTTCAAATATCAATAATATTTCACTAGAGGGACTATTTGCAGTGTAATTTGTGATTTTCCCCAAGTGTTTTTTTTTTTAAGATTAACAAACTAGTTCTTTGTGAAGTCTGAAGTGTAACGAATTTGTTATTATATATATTGTTACGTATCTGCTCGTTTGTTAATTTTCGGTATAAATTCTTTCCGAAGAACTTCAGCGATACAAGTCCTTTTTTTAATTAAAACTAGTTTATTCTTTCTCGATACAACTTTGTAATACACAGAATTTCCACACTCAATACGTTTGCAATCTCGACAACAAAACACACACTTAATATTACCGTCGCTACCGTTCGCTTGACTCAATTATCTATCTCTATATCTATCTGTCTTGCTGGTTTTATTTGCCAGGCTTATATACTAAAAAAGAGGGCGTCTAGCAAACACTCGGACATTCGCTGGTTCCTCTATAATTCGAGAAACTCCAGCGCGCATGCTCCCAGCGTCATGCGACTTCCGCTATCGTAACAATATTTATTTTAATATCAAAGTTTGTTTAAATTAAGTTTATATCTTAAAACATGGGTAGCTTATACTGTTGAATATGCATTGCGAAACTTCCGCCTATTCTCCGAAGTTGTAGAAGATTCTCGA